AATCATCCTTCACAAAATCCTTATCTTTCACGGTGACCTCAAGGACTGATGCCTGAATCCGATCTTTCGAGAAAGCAAATACCTGATTCCATTCAGGATTTGATTTTTTTCTCGAAATGTCGGGTTGTACCCTTATAGTTTCCGAGCCTAATTTCAACATAAGGGTCACAACTACCCGTAACATCCTTCACCGGTAAATCCTTGGCTTTAACCACCCGAACATAAAGGTATTGCATTTGCTCAACGAGGTCATAGGTGCTTGTGAGCTTATCTCCGGTGATCTTCCCACCACCAAGGTGGTGGGGTTTAGTCTCCTTTAGTGAAAAATCTTCCATTGGAGGCCTCTGCATTTTCTGGGCTATCCTTTTTCTCTCAAACAACACAATCCCAATATGTAGAACTTGACAACGGTCAAGAAACAGACATTCAAAAATCAAAAGTTCCCAAACCCCTTACTTATCGGAATAAAAAATTTATTCAGCTTTTTTACCAGCCAAGAGCAATCTCAGCACCCTAAATATTAGGCTACTCAAAAGCCAAACAAGAGAGAGAGAGAGAGAGATGAACAACAAAGGCTGAACTTAAAACGCTAGATCTTTGGCACACTAAGAGGTAAAGTAAATAGCCTCATTAACAATCATCACATTAACCGAAAAGCCTAAAGCCTCGTTCAAAGCTTCAGATCTGAATGGCTTAAACCTGTATTTAAAGATACAACTTCAAAACCCATTCACAAAAAAGCTGAAACGTAAACACGTAAAAAGATTACATCAGCACATCAAAACACAAGACATTGTACCAATCTCCACAGCAAGCTATAGAACGAAAAAAAATCAAAAAAAAAAAAAAAAAACACATAATTTTTTTTATATAAACGTGCAAAAATCAAAAGTTGAAGCAAGCGGCGATGAGAAACAAAATCTGTAGATGAAAAATCCAAGAACTTTGAATCTCATTAAAACCCAATAAAAATTATAACTTAATTGAATGTACCATCATTTTTTTTTTTTGTTTGGTCTAAGAATGTACCATTAGATACCAATACGTTAAACTAGAGAGAGAGAGGTGTATATACCTTGTGGGTTCATGGAAGCCATTGTTGATAAGGTATGAAGAGATTGAAACAATGGAAGATTGGTGCTTTTTTTGTTATAAAAGGGACGAGAGAATGGGGAAGGAAAGAGAATAGTTGTAGGGTAGAGTGACAAAACAGAGGCAGAGCGTATATGGAGAGAGAAAAAGGAAGGTGGTGTGTGTGTGTGGGGATCTGAAAGAATACACCACACCGACTGATGTGTGATATGTGGATGTGTGTGGGTGTGTCTCTCTCTTTTTCTTTTGTTTAGTATTGTCGCTGCTGCTTGACCAGGGAACCCCGGGTCACGCGTGTGAGGACTATGGTCGGAGCTCGCACGTGCAAAACCCGTGATTCCCGGAATTTCTAGATATCAAAATTGCCTCAGGACTTTCCTAAATTTGACTAGGTCCCCCGATAAGGCTTTTTTTTCCTATTTATTTTTTTGAGTAAGAACTTAAAAATTAGATTTGATAATTTCAACCATTGAATAGGTAGTAGTTCTTAATAAATGTTGGAATCCACAGTTAAATCAATAATTTTAATTATCAAATTTAATTTTTAAGTTTATTTTTTAAATTCATGTAACATTGTTCATTTTTTTTTTATTGTTAGATTTTGAACTTGAAAATAAATTAAAAATGAAAAAAATTGCCTCAAATACTTTTTATTTTTTTTTAAACTTATATTAAACTAAGCAAGAGTATGGGTGCGTTTGATAATGTTTTGTGAAAAAAAATAAAAAATATAAATATTTTTTATTTTTTCTATAATAAAAACTAAAACATATAAACACATATTTGATAGTTATTTATATTTAAAAATTATAAAAATAAAAAATATAATTGGACCGAAAATCCACCATGACCACCCAACCTACAAAACTCACCGCCTGACCCTAACAATTCCATCACCAACCATCTAATCCTCAAAACCTAGCACCATCGAAACCTCTAAAACCCACCACCAAAACCCTCTGTAAAACACCAAAGACCACCGAAACCCACCACCCAAAACAAAGATAGTGAGAAAACAAAAACATGAGAATCTCAATTTGCACTCCGAAAGATTGTTCGAATCTCAATTTACACCCCAAAGATTAAAAATCTCAATTTGCACCATCAAAGATAGAAAATTATATCAATGTACACCCCAAAGATCAAAAATCTCAATTTACACCCTCAAAGATAGAAATTTGTATCAATGTACACCTCCAAATATCAAAAATCTCAATTTACACCCTCAAAGATAGAAATTTATATTAATGTGCACCTAAAACTAAATTGATAAATTATACCTAGATCCCCTCATGTTTGTCACTTAATCATTTGAACCCCTTCACATTTAGAATATTACCCATATATCTCATGACGTTTGTACATGTGTAAACATAACCACTTTTCGTTGATATCTATTAATATAATCGTTAAAAAATATGATTATCCTAATAAAAAATTATAATTTCATATTACCCTTTATTTTGTAGATTCGATATACTCTAAAGTTCAAAATCAAGCTTACTATTTGAATGTCTAATAGAATGTAGATATTTATAAAAAGGAAAATATGAAAAACATTATATAAATATCTACATTTTATTAGACATTCAAATGGTAAGCTTGATTTTGAACTTTAGAGTATATTAGACCCATAAAATAAGGGTAATATGAAATTATAATTTTTATTAAGATAAAATTATATTTTTAACGGTTATATTAACAGATATCAATGAAAGTGGGTTACATGTTGTACGTGCATAAATGTCATGAGATGTAGGAGTAATATTCTAAATGTAAAGAGGTCCAAATGATTAAGTGACAAGCATGAGAGGATCTAGGTATAATTTATCAATTTAGTTTTAGGTGCATAATGATACAAATTTCTATATTTGAGAGTGCAAATTGAGATTTTTTATCTTTAGGGTGCACATTGATATAAATTTCTATCTTTGAGGCTGCAAATTGAGATTTTTTATCTTTGGGGGTGCACATTGATATAAATTTCTATCTTTGAGGGTGTAAATTGAGATTTTTGATCTTTGGGGGTACACATTGATACAAATTTCTATCTTTGAGGGTACAAATTGAGATTTTTGCTTTTTGAGAGTGTAAATTGAGATTCGAACTATCTTTCGAGATGTAAAATGAGATTAACCCTAAAATTAAACAGTTACCAAACTAACTTATGTTTTTGGTTTAATTTCATTCAAATGAACTAAATATATTAAGATTATATATTGCTTGTTAATTAAAGAAAATATTACACTTTACCCCTTGAACAATTATCTTTATTTTACTTTGCACTTTCAATTATAAATTTTTTTATATTGTACCCTAAAATATCAATTTTTTTTCATATTACTCAAAGAGATAATGATAAATTTAAAAATCTATTAAAAGAGGGAGAAAAACTCCAAAAAGCTTCCTATCAAGTGTCTAAAACCACTTTATTTTACCTCATTTGTAACCAAATGATTGTTACGAAGAAAAAAAAGGTAAGTTAGAAGAAGAAAATTTAGAGTTTAAGAAGGGCAAAATCATTTATGGGTATTTTTTTTAATTTTTGAATGCAATATACAATTGTTTATTGATAGTATACTGCAGATCACTTACATGCGCATTTACAATCAAAATTGACATGCATTATCTATTAAATTGATATGAAATAAAATTGATATTTTAGGATGTAATATAAAAAATTTTATAGTTATGGGTATAAAGTGAAATAAAAATAATAGTTCAAGGTATAAAATGTAATTTACACTTAATTAAACTCTTTCATATTCCTTTTTCCAATTTTTAGATTCAGAACTTGAAAATGAAAGAAAAATGAAAAAGTTGCCTCAGTCGCTTTATCTTTTATTTTAAACTTAAATTGAACTAAGCAAGAACACCTACCTCGTTTAATTTCATTCAAATAAACAAAAATATATTAAAATTATGTATTGCTTGTTAATTAGAAAGATCTGTCTGAAATTGGAATTGGAAATCAAATTAATACCTCATTAATGTCAGATTATGAGAGATTTATCTCCCTTCAATATACTAGTCTCAGCGTAAATAGTCTATTTTTCACTGAATCAAGAAGAAAATTAATCAAGGTGTACGTAAACTGACTCGAACATCCTTGGCCGTTAAACTAAAAAAATATTAAACAACTACTAATAGTTTAATTTAATTTTTCGATGCGATGGAGGTGCATTATTGTTGAAATTGTGCTATTTATTGGGCATTTATTGGCCTTGGCCTTCTGGCTTTACATAAATGCTTTGGATTTATTCGTATACTCATACTTACACATGTGTTAAAGATGCTGATTCTCACGTTGTTTAGGCAATGTATAGCATTGCTAGGATATCATTTACGATTAAAATTTATGTTCTATTATATTATTTATTATAATAAAATTAAAAATAAAAATTTAATTTTTTTCCTAGAAAAATATAATTAATATACAATTATATTATCTATTAAAATAAAATTAAAAAATCACTGATTAAAATTAGGGGGTGAAAATATTAGGCTTTTGCTATATGCTGTTGCATCGTATTAAAATTTGTTGAGGAAACATGTACGATGCTCGAAGTAATTGTATTGCTAGTTTATCAACTTAACAAAAATTTAAACAAATATGTGAGGGATAAACTCATAATTTATCATATGCCAAACCATCTTGTAACTCACTGATTTCCCCCAACCATCTTGTAAGTCATGAGGTTTTCCTCACAATACTAAAGTGGCTACTGAGTTCAGGGTACTAGCATAGGAGAGAGAATAGAGGTTAGCTTTGCTTCATACAAATTTTAAATCTTTCATGGTATAGCTTAAAGATCGACATAATAGTTAAGTTGGTATGAGGTTGTTGATGTGACCTCGAGTTTCAACATATAATGTCTCATATCAACTAATAATGCATTGAGGTATGGTATGGGTATGTCGATGTGACCACTAGTTTCGGGCCAAGATGAATGAAATTTATCAATAAAAAACTTGAGAGGTAACACAAAATGAAAAATAAAGTACGTAAAACTTAGACGGGTGTGACACATACAAATGGTTATGCCGGATGTAATCCACAACCTAGTATGGGTGAATACCATTTCTTGATTGAAACTAATTGCACTCTCAGAAAAAAATTGTCTTCAAAAAGCTTTAATAAGAGTAAATAAACAGCAAATGCATATTCTGTTTCCAGCAGAGGTGTTGAATGGCAGGAATTGGCAATTCCAAGTGTGAGTGCAAGATCCTGTACAATATAAACACTAGAATA